TACCGGTGCGTTAAGGGTTGTGACCAAACCTTTCCCAGTCCTTACTATCTGAAGAGACACGTAATGAGACTTCATTCGCAATACGAGTGCAACAATACGGGTGCCATCACTCGAATCAGATCTCGAACCACTCCAATCACTCCAAGAACACGGCCACCATTGACTAAATCTGACGGCCATATCAGCGACAGTGAACCGAATGATACGCCAAACAGTCGTGAATTGAGGTCCAAAATAGTCAAAGAAACGGTCAAATCCACGGACGAGAAGACGGCGGCCACTAAAACGGCGAACAAAAGGTCTCTTATAAAGTCAAATAAGAAGGCGAGTGACAAAACTGCGGACAACACTGTTGAGGAATTGGTGGCCAAAACTCCCGTTAAGAAACCGATTGAAAGAATGGCCAACAAATTAGTCAATAAAAAAGGCGATAAAACGGCTGAGAAAGCGGTGGACAAAACTCCCGACAAAAAGGCCAACAAATCCGTAGACAAACCGCTGTCGGGATCTAAAAGTGTTGGCAAAAAATCGGTGGCAAAAGAATTTCAATGCCAATGGTTTGGTTGCGAGAAGTACTTCACGAATCGACTGCACCTTCAGCTGCATATGAAGAGTCACTCGCAAGTGGTGGGCCATCGGTGTCCGGACGGCTGTCCCGGAGTGTTCCGCACTCCCGGCCACTTACGGATGCTGGTTTGCCCTGTGGTAGACTCTATGGCAACGCTAGCGCTGCTGACGCCAATGCGGTGACGGTTGCTCAACCGGGATGCGAGCGTAGAAATCGGCCATCAAATGACCGACACTTTTGTGGCGCCACCGCCGCAACGGCTTGTGATCAGTGATTTGATTGATGCACAAAATGAGGTGATTATCGCTGGAAGTGATTATTTTTAATCAATTTTTGTATTTTGAAGTGCATTATCATTACGAAAATGTTTTAGAGCTTATTATCAAATGTCAAACACAATTAAAATGAATTTAAAAACTGTTTTTTAATTATTTTTTATGAATTGATGAATAAAATTGTCATTTTTAACACAAATATTTATTTGAAATGTTTTTAATCATTGAAAATAAACACTTTATGACACTTTCGATGATATAAATACGAGTGATTAGTGAAGCCGTTATTTAATGGTGTCTATTGTGTTATTGAATTAATACTGAAGTTATAAATAGAGTTATTATTTGTCTCAATTAATTGTCAAATCATTAAATGAAAGCAAAAAATAAATTTTAATAAAACTTATAAACGAGTGATTTATGCATTGTTTTTCAAATTAGTAAACGAAGAAATGAAAAATAAAATGCATAACAATTAGTTTGAATTATATGGAAGAAGTTGTCGACTCTGGTGTAGTGTTTTTGTCTCTTAATAAACGCCTCTCCAAATCGGTTCCCCTTCTGGCGACAGTACTCTTCTCTTTTCTCATTTTCTCATTGGGTTTCAATGTCTTGGCGCTACTTTCACCACTCATTTGCTGTCGTTTGTAAACCATTATCGCAATTGTTATTACAAAAATCACTCCCAATATCAACAGTAGTTCTAAGATAACTAATACTATTGTATTAGAAGTTTCAACCCTTTCCGATGCAAAACATTGCTTTTTAAACGCAAACATTTTTTCAGTCAAATTGCACTAAAAATAAAATGAACACAATTTTTAACCCAAATTAAATTTAAATCATTTAATAAATACCTGTTCGGAGAGATTCTGGCCTTCGGGTGTGAAGCAATAGCGGGGCTGACCAGAGATGTTGAACCATAGCATATGGCCTTTCACTTGGGTGCGGGGGTCGTCGTACACAACCACTCCCTCCAACTTGTGGAACAAGTGATCCGGTATTTGTTTGACAAACACCGGAGGTCTACAAATCAGATCCAAACAATTGGTTGTGTAGACAACTTTGATGGTCAGCGTTGAGTTCTCGTATGTAATGTTCAAAACATGTTCAGCCGTTTGGTTACTTCTGTCCAACAATAAGACATACAAATTATTATCATTTCTAACCCGAGTGTCGAGAGCCTTAGGACTGAATACAACATCCGTTGTAACGATATTAGGTCTAACTATGACACCAGCGCTGCAATTGGTCTCAATAGTGATGTTTTTCGGGTCCTGTGATTTCGTGGCAAACATTGTTAAACACATGATAATAATCATCAAATCATAGATATTACCAAATAATAAACATCACAATTGTTTTTCTCAATTTTATAACTACTTAGTATTCGGCGATCTATTGGCCGACGACTGTCTTCATCCACAGACAGACTCAGTGTTTGATTATCCTTTGTATTGATATCAAACACCCACTGATTGTCCATTGAATACATTTTGAAGACTCCAGTCATTGAAACTTCGGAGGAATAAATCCATTGTCTATGTATTTGAATGCCATTATAACTGCCGTTAGTCTGAATGTAATCACAAATATTTTCTTTGCATTCAATACAACTGATAACCAGAAGAATAATAAAAATCGTTGACATTTTCATTGAAATAAATTAATAGCGAATTTATTTGATAAAAATTCGTTTATTATAAGTTAAATTCGCTACAAAATAATTATAAAACACAAACAATTTAAACAATTATTGTTTATTAATTCAAACGTCTCGTTAAACTCGTAACAATGATTGCAAAAATCCTATAAAGTTTATAGTTTGTAAATAAATTGTGGTTAAAAATGAACGTAATTTCAAATGTATAGCCGCACGGGAACTGCTAGTTTATCTGGTTTATCAAATATAATAAATCGGTATTCACTAACTTGTGAATAATCTTACAATTAAACGTGAATTTATAATTGAATCAAAATATGCAATTAATAGCTAATTTCTGTCTGTTTTCTATCCATTCAATTATAATCTAAATCATAACATAATTTGAAAATCTTTTTTAAAGCCAATTGACTATCGTTTGTTAAAATTTGTTAAGAATTTAGATATTTAGAGTGCATGTAAAAATTCTTAATGAATTGTGTAATAGTTAATTCTGTAATAGTTTAACCATATTTGATTTCATGATGACATTTGAGAATCATTCTATACAACTGTATATACAACTATCAAGTGATTAAAAAAATTAATTTACATTTTAATAGAGAGTTGGCATTAAAAATGGCTAAAAATATGGTATTTATGGCCATTATTTTGGTTGTGATTAGTATTGAATTGATTGACGCGAAGAATGTTTGGGACGAAGTGAAGGACAGTTGGGAAGACGTGAAACACGACTTCAAAAAGGGATTCAAAGATGTCTTCGATAGAGGTGTCAATCATTTACAGTATATTCATTATGTTATACAACACTCTCAACCACTTACTAATACTAATTATTAATTAGTAATTAACTATAGTTAAAAATTATAAATAACTTGATAAATTGCTATTTAGTAATAAAATAGTTATTAATTTAGTTTAAAAACTAACTAAAATATTTAGTTTGTTGTCATTTTCTAGTTTTAGATCAATTTCTGTGATTTTGTATGAATTAATTATTTTATTTATATTTAAAATACAGATTTGGATAAATTAAAAAATCCTTTCGAAGAGTAAGTGATTATAAATATTAATTATAATTTTTAAATAACTGTTAATTTGATTTTTATATTGAAATAATAGTTGGCGGCGAAAACGTAGTGTTGAGCAAACAGTTGTGTTGCCAAATGCCGGCGCCTAACAGACAAACTCTATTTAAATTATTCATAAAATTGTTATTAAATTAAAGTATAACTTGTTTTTATTTATATAATAAATCATAATAAGTTTCATTTCGTTTATAACTAAAAATTGTTCACATTTATAATACACTGTTTTGCATAAATCAGTTTGAGTTAAACACTAATGATATTTATTGCATAATTATTAAGCAAATATTGCATTTATAATAAATTACGAAATGATTAATTCAATTAAATATAAATTCAATTTCACAGCAGATTTTATTTCAATTTCTGTATAACAAAAAACTATTGAATTTTTCACTTCACAATACACGGCAACCGAGTCGGCGGTCAGCGGCGTCTTTTGCGGACACACCTCTGCCTTCGCCTGCGTCTGACCGTCCGTTTGCGTCTCCGAGATGTGCCCCAAAGCCATGACGACGACCCGCCAGCGCTCGACCGACGCCTACGCCTTGTCCTCCTTGTCCTGCATCTGGACCTTCGTCTCGATCTGCGGCCCGATCTCGACCTTCTTCTCCCTCTCCCGCCGGGCGGCGAAAACAGACTTCGGATGGCATTCATGGCCCGACTGCCCCATCCCTGGCCACCGCTCGCTGACCGACCGCGAGCTGAACCTCTTCCGCGTCCCCGACGGGAGACACTGTTCCCACGATTGGCTGATTCTTCGGGATTCTTACGTTTCATACTTTTGTCGACACTTTTATCCCTTTTCGACGGTTTCAGCGATCGGTTGAAAAGGAGTTTAAATTTTCAAATGCTTTCCTATTTATAGTATTTTCAAATTCATTGTTTGGCGAATGCAAACAATCAACTCATTTGAACGCAAACTAACAAAAGGAGAGTTTAGTTCATAAATCGCATGTTTGGCCGCAGATAAGTGTGATTTCAATCACGGCCTTAAGTATAACGGCGTAAACATTAGTTCATTTCCAATGAATGTTGCAATTAATAAAACAGTTAAACAATTTTTTGTCTATATTTAGTTTTGTAAATAATTTTAAATTTGTATAATTATAGTGAATCTTAAAGCTATTAGAGTAATTTAAAATATTGTCTTCACAGTTAGAGTTAACATGGTCATTTAGACGCACAAAAAAATTAGCGATTGAATGGGGGTAAATTGACCAAGCATAATTTTGTTAGTATGACAATGGGATTTTTAGTCTAGATTTTTAAAAAACAAAATTTTATTTTATAAAAATCTAAAACAATTTAATTGTACGAAAAGTACGGATAAATCCAATAAGAAATTATGTCCAAAAAAGGGGAAAATAACAAACCGGGGGACAGATCTACACCGGAAGACACACAGAGAGTGTTGTGGCCACCCGTGCGATGGCAGATGTCATCGGGACAGTCGATGCCCAGCGCTCTGCCGCCGGAACTCTTGTACTCACCGCCCGGTTCGGGTCAGGCGTCCACATCTCAATCGGGCGGCACTTCCTTTCCCCGCTCTACGGGACTAGACGTTCCGGGAATGGGAACAGTCGGGTCGGGCGGTGGGGGTTATGTCCCGCCGCTACCGCCCACACCAGACCTCGACCGATACGGCTACGACACCGGCGATGACAGTGACAATAACCGCCCACAGCTTTCAGTCATACCACCGCCACAGCCGTACAACAGACATCACATCCCAGCGTTTAGAGCCCAACCAACACCGGGTCGAGTAGAGTATAGCGCGGGCAGCGGTCAGGTTGGCATCAATATGCCGTCCACCGGACATCTCAGAGGGGCCGGACTGCCATTGGGACGGGGCGTATCGGTGCCCCCAATTCGGTATCGGTCGGGTGTGTACGACCCAACAGCCGACCAAACTGTCAACCCTATGACCGGTCGCTATACAGTTCTTCAGGACTTTGATCCGCCGGAGTGTATGATTTGCGGCGACGAACCGTCCATTCGGTACAACGTGTGCGGCTGTCGACACGAGTCCGCCAATATCTGTATGTCTTGTTTGCGAAAATCAATAGTAAGTCGGGCCTACTCTGCCGACCAGCGCTACGACCGGTGCTATACGTGTCACTCTCGGTATGTGGGCGTTGAGTACGTGATGGGTCCCAATCCAGATCCGCCCCGATTTCATCAATTCTTGCGCACCCGACTCCAGTACGACAGTGTCCTACTGTTGGCACCCCTGCCGTTGGTGGCGGTGGCCGTCACTGTTGTCGGTTTGGTTTATCCCAAGGCTTTGCCATATTTAGGTCCAGTAGTGGTGGCTGTGGTGTTGATGTATTACGGCTACCAATTGTTTCTATATTACGCCACTTTCAGGTATAGGACTCGCTATTCAGACAGAGAGGGAGTCGTCAACATTCGCATCAATAAGGATTTGGCGCCCATTAGAAATGAGCAAGATTATCGTTGACATTGAAATAAAATATACAAATGTTTACAAATTATTCATGTGTACAAATTTATTCATTATCGTTAAAATAATAATTATTATGTCTCACGAAGAATATATGTTTTAATTTATTTTAAAAATTCAATAATTTGCAATAGAGTTACGAATAGTTTAACGTTTTATTTAATTTACAGAACAGTATATCTAAACGATAGAAATTCAGCGCAAAATACAAATGATTGCGATTTTAATATTCATAATGAATGCAATTCTTTGCATTAAATCGATTTGCCAATCGATTTGTGAGTTAATGTATACGAATGGCATATATTCTGGCGTTCAAATGCAACGCAGTTGGCCATGGTCACAAAGTGATGGGGCTCCACGTTCTGTGCATAAAATGTACGCAAAGGGAAAGGAGTGGGAGTTCACTATAAAGAGTGACCACAAGAATACACTATCGGTAATGGCATACAATTCAACGGTGAAAGAGTCGTATACAATGACTGGCGCACAACCGATAAACCGTTTGTGGGCTAATGTGATTTACTATTATATACCGTTTTATGATGGTTATATTGACATGTACTGCGAAATACGTTATAATGTAAATATAAAATTAACTTAAAATTCTGTTTATTTGAATATTGAATAATATAATATCTCATTTATAATGTAATTATTAAAAGCATCCCAACACCACCGTTAAGGAAATAACCACCCATTGCTCGTTTTCCGATGGCATTCAGTGCGAGACTAACCAACAGTTTAACCCGATGTCTATCGTATTCAGTCCGTATCCGGTGCCCATCGCTAAATACTACAATTATTTGACCATTTTGGACAAAAACAAGCGATCGTTAAGAGGAGTACTTGAAATAAAATACGATCACAATGTGATAGACAAGAATATTGGAAAAATTGAAGTCGTCCACGAGAATCTATGCGCGGCTCCGCATGTTTGTAAGCGTCCGAAATTTGTGGATCAAATAAGTGATACTTTGTTAACACATTTGGAGGGAATCGTTGACTACCATATGGGCCGCTATATGAGGGGACATATGCTATGGTTCAACATCTCTGGTCAGCCCCGCTATTGCTTCACACCTGAGGACAAAGATCTCTCCGAACAGATATTCATCACATAATACATTATTTTAAAGTTATATTAAAAACAATGTATTGTTTGTATATTTAAAGTGTTCCCAAAAAGAGAATATGACTGCATTTGACTGTGGATTAAAAACAACAGTTAAATCACCGATTGATGCGATTCCCACACAAAGTTCAACCGAAGGACTGCTCATACTATTGATTATTTTGTTGATAATTGGAGTGATTGTTGTGATAATCGATGGGTATTTGATTCGTAAAAGACATCAACAAATAAGTGTAATTCCGTCCGAGTCTTCGAGTGCAGCCGTAATGACCAATAAATACAAAGGTTTGAAAAGTTCGCCAAAAAACATAAGATCTGAATCCTCTGGTGTTCACCAAAAAACAATTAGCGACAAGAGTTTAAATTCCAAAAAATAATTATTTTTAAATCTGAAGTAGAAATTGATTGTAAAATTTGTAGACATATAATAAAATAATATATATTTTGTTTTAATTGATTATTTAGACGTGTCTTAACAATTGTTTGACAAAATAAATATAACAAATATAAATTACCTGAATCTATGGTTAACTTATAATTGTATTTATTTTGTTTATTTAATGAATCCATTTATCAAATAAAGACAATGTTTTCTTTAAATTATTTCAATTATTTCTAAACAAAATTATTTCTAAACAATCAAAAATAAAAATACAAAAATCATAAATTACACGAAACTAACGTCTGGAGTCCAGACTCTGGACTGAAAACACAGAGAGATGTCCGGCAGTGACTTTATACTATCAAATATCAATATTAAAGACTTTAAAATCTTAACAAATATTTTGCTAATTTTTAGTAATATAATTCAAATGCAATAGTTTTGGCATAATTTAACAATTATTTAAAATATTAATTTAATTCACGAGGTATGTAGGTTAAAATCTATTATTTAAAAACTTAATCAAATTAAATTTTACGAGAGTTAACAACGTTTTATATAAATCAAATAAAATTGCATTCAAACCAAAAAAGTCAAACCATGATAAAAATGATCTCAAGTTTGTTATTCACAATGAATGCAATTCTTTATATTGAATGCAATCAAACCATTTGTAATATGATGTATACGAATGGCACATATTCTGGCGTTCAAATGCAAAGAGAGTGGCAGTGGTCTGACAGTGAAGGCACTGCTTATTCTGTGCATAAGATGTACTCAAAGGGAATGGAGTGGGAGTTCACTATAAAGAGAGAACACAAGAATGAGAGTATATCCAGATTATTAGTATTTACAAACCACTCGACTATCAAAGAAAAGTACACAATAACTAAAGGCAAACAACCGATAAACAGTTTTTGGGGCGGATTAGTTAAGAGCTTAAAGCCATTGCAAATCAAAAACTTTTATTGCGAAATGCATTATAAGGTAATTATAAAATTTATTTAATAATCCGTATAAATAATATACTTTTTATTACGTGGTGATCAAAAGTTGCCCAAAACAGGAGAGATTGAGACCAATTGCACGAACCATAATGGCATAGAGGGCCAGACTAATGACCAGTTCAATCCGATGTCGATAGTGTTTAGTCCATCGGTAGCGCCGGTCGTTAACATTGGATTCGATGACTATTTCACAGTTTTGGATACAAAGAACCGATTGATGAGACATGTATTTGAAGTTTGGTATCAGTACAGTTTGTTGGGAAACACATTCGACACATTCTCTATTAAACTGATCGATGAAAGCGGATGCAAGCATAACAGGTGTCGGCGACCCGTATTTGTGGATAAGTTGAGCGATGATTTGCTGACACAATTGGAGGCAATCGTTGACTACGATTTAGGGCCACAGGACAGGGGATATCTGCTGTGGTTTAATATCAACGGCCGACCCATGTATTGCTTCACACCTGAAGCCTATCTCTCTCAACAGGTATTTTATAACGCAATAAATTTATTTAATATTTATATAAAATAATGTATTTTTTGTATGTTTAAAGTGTTCCCAAAAAAAGAATATGACTGCATATAACTGTCCATTCAATACACGGATTGATGCGATTCCCACCCAAACTACTGAAGGATTGCTGATATTATTGATTATTTTGCTGATAATTGGAGTGATTGTTGTGGTAATCGATTGGTATTTGATTCGTAAAAGACATCAACAAATGAGTGTAATTCCGTCGTCGTCTTCGAGTGCAGCCGTAATGACCAACAAATACAGAGGTTTGAGAAGTTCATCGAAACCCCTGAGATCTGAATCCTCTAGTGTTCACCAAAAAACAATTAGTGACAAGAATTTGAAGTCAAAGAAATTGAATTCAAAAATATAATTATTTTAAAATCTGAATCTAAATTAATTGTGAAATATGTAGACATATAATAAAATTATGTTTTAATTGATTTTAAATTAAATGTGTTTTCCGTAACAATTATTTGACAAAATAAATTTAAATTACTTGAATCTATGGTTATTTTATAATTGTATTTATTTTAACAAATTTATTAATTAAATCATTATTATGTATTTATTTTCCACTAATTTGTGACAAATTATTATACAAATAAAGACAATGTTTTCTAAAATTATTTCAATCATTTTTAAACAATCAAAAATAAAACACTAAAATCACAAATTATAGTAACGTCTGGACTGAAAACACAGAGAGATGTCCGGCAGTGATAGCAATGGGAGAGAGGGCTCACAGGAGGGGCAGAGGAGGGGACGAGGACCAGAGTGGACGGCACCCACCAGACAGACAATCCCGGGCTCCGCCACTCCAGACCAGTGGCGCCAACACTTGAGAGTTATATCCCGGCGACGGATCGGCCAAATCAGAGAAACAGAATCACAAACACAAGACATTTCCCGCTCATCGTCTGTGAGATCAGTCACCGAAGGTTTTCCCGTTAGTTCCGTATCTTCTTATAGATCCGTATCTCCGACCCAATCGGTGTCGTCCGGCGGATACACACCTCCGCCCACATCTTTATCGCCGACACATTCGCTCACTTCTGCCCACAGAATATCGCCGACACCGCGACCCGACTCTCCATTTGCTCCGACTCTGCAGAGTTCGGGTCGTGGAGGGTATGTCCCGGCATTGCCTCCTATGCCAGACCTCGACCGATACGGTTATGGCAACGATAGCGACGCCGACGACGGCAATGACTTCGTGCCCATACAGCCGGCAGCACCGCACCGGCAGTTAGTGCCCATTCAGCACATCCAGGCTTACAGACCGCGACCAGAGCCGGACGTGGCTGAGTTCGACGTCGGCACCGGTGAGGTTAGAATCAATATGCCGTCCGCAGCACCGCATTGGCCGCTCAGACGGAGCCAATCAATGTCCGCTATTGGGCGCCGGTCGGGAGGGTTTGAGCTGACAGATCAAAGAGACCCACCGCTCGCTCAGTACACACCTCTTCAGGACTTTGATCCGCCGCAGTGTACGCTTTGCGGCGACGAACCGTCCATTCGGTACAATGTGTGCCGCTGTCGACACGCGTCCGCCAATATCTGCATGACTTGTTTGCGGCGTTCAATCGTCACTCGTGTCCCCTCTCTCGACCAGCGCCACGACCTGTGCTATACGTGTCACTCTCCCTATGAGGGCATTGAGTACGTGATCGGTCCTAACCCTCGATGGACCACATTTGGTCGTTTTCTGATAAACAATATTCAAGGCGATAGTATTGTACTATACGGGCCCTTATTGTTGGCGGCAATGATGGCCACTTATGTCGGGTACAATAACCCTGGTGCTTTTCACCTATTTGGCCCAATAGTTATCGGTTTAATGACCGCATTTTATGCGTCCTTTTTGGCCATCTATTACAGAGAGTATCGGAATAGGAATTTAGACAGAGAGACAATTGTGGACATTAGGATCGATAGGGATTCAGCTCTCCTCAGAAGCCCTGAAGACTATTTCTGAGATTTAAAAAGTCCATTGAAATCATATGAGGTTTAGTTTATGCCTCAATAAAGCATATGATTAATCCAGGGATGAAAATTGTTGAAATTAATGGTTATATTTTAATCAATATACAGTATTAATTATACATTTGAAGTAATAGTGAAGTAGATTTCAAATTGGATATACCTTTTACAATAATTGTACAACAATTATTGTTATTATAAATAGAATTCTATATAAAATCAATGAAAAACAAATACAAAAAATGAAACATTTTCTTAAAACAATTATCATATTTAGAAATTGACTCAATGAACGCGTTTCTCGACTCTCAGCACAACTTCTTTCGGTATAATTAGTCCCAAAGTGTGGTTCCGTTCGGGCGGACGCTATGGTCGACAAATTTAACAATATTAACTAAAATTACTAAATTTTATTTATAAATACAAACCAAAGTTTTGTCGCATATTTCAAACCGATAATTATATACGGAGTAAAGTATAGCTAACTTTGCCTCCATTAAAGCCAACCGTTTGGCCACACAATTACGGGGTCCGCCACCAAACGGGAGGTGAGCGTACGGGTGATGTGTTATGTTTTGTGGTAAAAACCTCTCCGGTTTAAACTGTTTGGGATCTTTAAAGTGTTCCGGATCTTCATGTAATACACAAACGGGTATTTGGATTATATCACCCTTAAAGACCTTGATGTAATCATCGGGACCTCCATCACCGGTTAGAGTAATATCTTCCGATGCCTTTCTTTCCAGTGCCAGAGCCGGTGGGAACAGACGCAGGGTTTCCATGAGACAGGCATTTAGATATTCAAGCCTTTCAATGGCATCGTAATCAATATCTTGCTGTAGAATATATTAATATTTATTAGTATTTAAACAAATTTAAGTAAATAAATAAATAAATTGTAATTTACTTTAGTTTCAAAAATACTCTTTGACTCTTCAAATAACTTTTGTTGCGATTCCTGGCTTTCGGACAACAGATATATGGCGTACGATATAGTGGTTGATGTCGTGTCAAAACCGGCGATAAAAAACAACACACATTGCGATATCATCTCCTCGTCTGACATACCTTTGCAATAGAGTTATTTAATTGTTTTTCTTATTCCTAAACACTATTCACGACTTACTTTTGGTATTTAGTTGCAAAGGAGTTGTCTGTTCCTCAGATAACACATCCGATTCAGTAGTAGTTTCCTGTTTGTGAGTTTCATCACTATTTTCCTCATTCTTTCTTTCGTTTGCGTCCAATAATAGTTGCAAAAAGTCATATCTCTTGTCACCATCTGATGCCTTACGGCTGCGGCGCTCAGCGATTATCTTATGAACAAAATCAGCAAAAAATGCGAGAATATGTCGCGGAAATAATTGTAGGCCTAAAAGCTTAGCCAATTTAGGCAATAACATAATAAGCATAATCCTCGGAAGTTTACTGACAGAAAAGTTGGCCATTAATTCCTTGGCATTCAATATAATGGGGTTCTTGTCGTCGATAAGTGCGTCCACTTTTGTGCCAAACGCCACTTGTATTATCACTTCCATAGTATACGCGCCGTAAACGGTCTTCATGTCAACTGAATGGTCACTATTGGCCGACATTTTGCCAATATTTGTAACTAATGCTTGCAAACAGTCGTCAATCAAAGGCCGCATTTTGCGTAACTTTCCAGTCGAAAAAGTGGGCGACACTATAGCCCGCAGGCGTTTCCATTGGTCGCCCATCACTACATGTAACATGTTATCCATTATGGGGTCTCCTCCTGAGGATCCCATACTCTTCATTGGGATATTATTTATGGTAAAAATACACAATTAATAAATCAATAAAGTATTGTTTAGCTATATTGTTAAGGTTTTACTCACCCGTCTTTGATTAAAAGTTGCAAACTCTTTGCTGAGCACTTGACTTATGAAGTCAGTTCGGGCGCATACGATGGTTGTGGTGCCCAACCCCTTAAAGCCATACAATTTACCATATTTTTTGTCTCCATAACGATATAATTCTTCGGGAAACCGTTTTTTCCAGACTAACTGATAGAGTGAATTGGGATTTCCCGGCTTTATATTCCTATCCTTCCACTGCTGGCTATTGTCCCGCCGATAGTATCTGTAAATTATATTTTAAACAATTATTTATAAATGAATTAAATAATTAAAATAAATAATTACTTGATTATTAAATATACAATTCCAATGACTGTTATAGCAATTAAATAATTTGTTGTTAAACACTCTGTTAGAGTATTAAATATTATATCCATTGTATTTGTTTAAATTATGTTTTTAAAACTTTATATTAATTTACTATTATTAAACAACATATATTTTTCAGATATACAGCATTTGTTTCTAGCTTCTAATTATTAAAATTTAATATAAGGTATAGATTATACACAAATATAAAACTTATGCAAATGTAAAATTATAAACTAGTAACTAATTACACAACACAATTACAATTAACAATAATAAAACGTTGTGGTTTTAAATTTGTAATACAATCAAATGAAAAAACAACCATGTGTTTACAATTTTTGAAATTTACTACTCGTTACCAATTATTTCTACTGTTTATATACTGGTAGTTGAAATGACATTATCCTTGAGACTTTATTGTTGTTGTCAGTGTAGCCCTATTATACACTGTAGTACATTGGGTTCGTTCATTGGGTTCTCGAGTAATGTATAATAAAGTTGTCTTTACATGTTGTCTACAGTACTGATAGTTAATGACATTATCCTTGAATTTATTATTATTACGAAATGTTTGGATGCGTTTTGTTTGGTATCTTCTTTTTGGTTCAATTATTCACCACTTCTTGAGATTGATTTGATTATATTTTGACACCAAATTGAAGCTTAAAAAATGATGTATTGAATAGTATTTGAATGAATTACTTTTTATTAATAAAACCAATTTATTCATAGGTTTTACAAACTTGAGATTTAAAAGTTTAAATCACATTCAATAAATTAATTATTATGTATTATTCAATATATATGCAATAAATTGTTATTTATTGGTTTTTATTATATTCATTTAGAACATACACATGGTTTGACGGACCATGTAAATTTAAAACCACACTTTTGGACCAAAAAATTCAGCATTTGCTAGAATAGTACACAAATACAAATTACATTATTTAAAATTAGATAAATAATAACTTTACAAGTTATTTTGTTCTATGTACATTTATTCTAATATTAATAATTAGTAAACAACTGAATTAAAAATTAAATCAATGATAAAATTCATAAAAATATTTAATGAATGCGTTTTACAGCTCTTAAAACAACCTCTTTCGGTACAATTAATCCCAAATTGTTGTATCGTTTGGGCGGACGCTATGACAGTGAATAGGAATTACAACATTAGTTAAAATACAATACATTTTATCGATGAAAACAAACCGATGTTTTGTCGCATATTTCAAACCGATAATTATATACGGAGTAAAGTATAGCCAACTTTGCCTCCATTAGAGCCAACCGTTTAGCCACACAATTACGCGGTCCGGCGCCAAAAGGCAGGTATGAGTAGGGATGGTGTGAAATGTTTTGTGGTAAAAATCTATCCGGTTCAAACTTTTCTGGATCATTGAACTGTTCCGGGTCTTTATGTAATTGAGATACAAGTATTTGAACCATATCACCCTTAAAGACCTTGATGTAATCATCAGGGC